GGAAGTTTGGGGTCGTTGCTCCGCTGAGTGAGGAAACCTCTGCCTTGATCTCAAGTCTTCTCCAGGCTCGCCTCTATATTTAGTTCCATCCATTGACTCTGAGCATATTTTCTATCCTAGCTGAATGAAAAGCATCCCAACACATTCATCCTGCCATCTTCCACAACACATCATTTAGCATATTGGTTGAAAAGTTCCTTTCTGATCTCACTGTTGGCATGGCTTTTGGCAAACTGCAACAACAACTTTCCCTCTTTCTGAATTTTGTGTCTGGTGTGTCCATTTCTGTTCATTAAACATATGTGGCCTTCACAGAATGTAGGAATTTACAGTTTGGTGGACTTGTTTTATTAATTAGGTAACGTCTGAAGGTGGTGTTGGATTTAACTCAGGAGAAGCAAAATAAAAGGGGCTGAATACAAATGTCTGCCACACTTTTCAAGCTTCATCTGAAAACAAATGGACTGTTTTAGTTAACTATACCACTTTTTTTGTCTTTGTCTGTCTTATAAAATCCCAGTGACAAACATTGCAGACTTTGGCTGAGAAAATAAAATGTTCTGAAGTTCTGAATACTTTTGCAACCACTCTAGATACTTTTTTGGGGGTAGGGAAAATAGTGCCTTTACACAAAAAAGAGTCACACTCTCAGCTAATTTCTCTAAAATATCACACAGCCATTGGTTTCTATTTGGGACAATAAAAAGGGGTCATTAATAAAGCTAGCAAAAAAGCTACAAGGAAAGTTTAAAGCAAAAAATGTACACAAAAATAGACAGTTGTTAAAAAGCATTCTTATTCTTCATCATTTTAAAGTTAAGATGGTTTAAAAATAAAATAACTAACACACAGCTTAAATTTAATCTTAAATTGTAACAAATTTCCAGAAATGACATCCAGAACTAAAAAATAAAATGAAAAAAATTCCTGTTAATATTTTGGAATTGGACTTTTGTAGGTGATAAATCTAATCAGATGAGTTTGTGCTAATGTAGACATACACCAGGTGGGCGTTGGTGGATGTGGTGTAGGAACAAAAAGGGTAACATAACATGGTACGTATAGATCACCATGGAATTTTTCAAAACGTTTTTCTGACTGTAGTTTGTGCCTTATCCAGCTGAATCAGCTGTGTTAGTGCTCCGTTTGTGCAGGTTTGTGCCGTTGAAATTTTCGTTTGTGCAGCTTTCGTCTTTGAGATATTAAAAGTTATAATTTTGGCCCATGACGTCACCGTCACCCCATCATGTTCCAAACCAAAGTGGGCTACTTCTTTTAATTCTTCAGATTTTCAGCTGTTGTACAATGTGTACCTTTTGTTTTGAACTTCAATAAAGACTTAGAACAAGAAAAAATGTGTCTCATTTCAATGTTTCAAGATAGCAATGTTTTCTCACGAACGTAGCGTTCTCTCCACAATAATTGAATCCTGCTAATAAAGGACATGCAGCCCTGACCCTAACGTAATGTGTATAACCCGTTCAACTGTGCTTTGATTTCGGAGGTGGTCTGAACAATTATATTCACATTGTTGACGTACTGTCTGCTGATTATGCAGCAAACGTGTAAAAAATATACATTAGCCTATAGCGGTTCAAAAAATAGAAGAAAAAAAAAAATCCACAGCCAATTTGCTAGTTGCTTGAGCAAAATTTCAACGGCACAAACCTGCACAAACGGAGCACTAACGAACTAGCCCACTTTGGTTTGTTTTGGAGCGATATGGGGGGATGGTGAACTCTAGATGACCTAAAAAATCATTTTTAATATCTCAGAAACCAAAACTGCACAAACGAAAATTTTAACGGCACAAACCTGCACAAACGGAGCACTAACGAACTAGCCCACTTTGGTTTGTTTTGGAGCGATATGGGGGGATGGTGAACTCTAGATGACCTAAAAAATCATTTTTAATATCTCAGAAACCAAAACTG